TATCCTGCTTCAGTTTCCGAATCAGAATACCTTTTTTAGTCCCACTGAGGGCAAATTTGCGTAGTGATGCCTCCATCTGCTCTGATGTTTCCTAGCCCCAACATGAGATGTGTCTAAGTGTTCTGTCTTTCCGCCATCCAATGAGACGGCAGCAGGTTGACTGAGTGCTGCCGTGGTGTACAGGCAGTGAATGGTTCCGATTGATTGATACATTTATTTCGAACAAGTAAAATAAATAATTACAAAACAAAACAAATGTTGCAGTGCATAGTCATGTAAGAGAAATCAAAACAAAAAATTACATTTACAACAACAACAACAACAGCATTAGCAACATAAACGGTGCCATATAGTGTTGGAAAAGGAGTGAGAAGAAGTATAAATTAAATTCTGCATGAGGATGTATGAGTATGGGCACAATCTGAGAATATCTTCCCAGAATATTGCAGAGAGCCAGAAACATCCTTTTGTTTTGGCAATTGTTGTACTGAAAATGGAACCAAATCTGGTGTCTTTTCAATGATGAGCAGAGTTTATTGATCTGCGAGTGTAAGTCCATGTGTGCTAAAGTAAATTACATTACATTACATTACATTGCATTTAGCTGACGCTTTTATCCAAAGCGACTTACAATAAGTGCGTTCGACCAACAAAATACAAACTTGAAGAAAACAGAATCATATAAGTACATGAGGCTTTCATAGAGCAAAAACATTTCAAGTGCTACTCAACTGGCTTTAGGTATGCCAGTCCTTTATTAGTATATAAGTGCTTTGTTAATAGTTCTATCGCTCGAAGTGGAGTCGAAAGAGATGAGTTTTCAGTCTGCGCCGGAAGGTGTGCAAGCTATCTGCTAAGCTAAATGTGTTGCTCTTTGAGGGGAGTGCTCATACTGAAATCAGAATTCCATTATTCGTCCCACAAAGAGGAAATCTACGTTGTTACAGCAAAGTATAGATGAAGAAAATAGAACACTGTTATATAAAAAGTATGCACATAGCATTTAAAATGAGAAAGAAACATTACAATTTAACAGAAACACATTCAGGTAGATAAGTAAGTAGCAACAGTATTTCTGAAATAAAATAAGTGTAGCATTGTAGAATGAAGGGTGATATATAACAGTAGTAAAATTAATATATAGTTACGTAAAGATCCCTGTTACAAGTGATGGACTAACTAGGAGTAGCTGCCAGTAGTAATAATAATATTAACAGAACATATTGCACATGTTGTTGTGGTGTCATCGTCTTTGTTTGTTTTTTACATTATTGCACATTGGTGCAATGGTGGTAAAAGAGGCATATGAAGATATTTTCTTCCTGACCAAAGTAAGATGTATTGTAGTTTGACTTCGTTTTTATTCTTATTTATTTTCATACATTTTGAATGCCTTACAGATAGAATGGTACACCCATATCTCAGCATGTCCTTGTGGTGCGTGCTGCAGTGAAGACTAACAGCGCATTTGTAAATGTGGGTTACTTATGGTTACTTAACCAATAATAGTGCAAGAGGTATCCTTATTATTGTTAGATTTCAGAATGTCTTGGGACAGAGGCAGACATGTAGACATTGTTAATATCTGGATAAGTCCCCACTGTCTTTCACAAGTAACACTTTTCCTTCATTGCTCTTGATGAATATATTTTCAGTTATTTCAGTGTGGAGGGTTTTATAGTTTAATGATGGGAATGTTTAGATTATGTCTAAGATAATTTATGGGTATGGTTGGCTGCTTGCTTTCTTGTAAATGATGGGGTGTTCGTCTTCTTTATCCACTTGTGGGGAAGTTGCTTTGTTCCTACAATTTTAGATTGATTTGTATTTTTACTTTCTTTATTATTTTATTGAATACAACAAAAGACAAACTTGCTTATGAATGATTTATTCGGTCTCTAAAGCTGCTTTTAGCTACAAACCAAGAAAGTGTGTTGCTGAACTTAGCGGAGAAATGCAGAAAAATTGAATGATTTGAATCAAATTGTTACAGCTCAAATGCATTGCAATGAATTTGTTGAAAACTTGAAAGTGAAATGTTAAACTGGAAGAGTAGGAAAAATAGTGAAGAAGCTTAATATTGAAAAGAAAAGGTTTAAAAAAGGTATAAACAACAACATGCCTCAATGTCCTGAAATAGCTGATTAATTTAATAGTTGAATGGTTTCTATAGCTGAAAGTAGGCTGAAGGAGTTACATATCAGATGTAAGTAGTAGTGAATGAATGTGTATTAAGAAGAGAAAATAATTGGGAAAGCAGCAGAATATTTGTTTCTGTGCTGAGCACCTAATCATAACACCTAATCATAACATTACATTACATTGCATTTAGCTGACGCTTTTATCTAAAGAGACTTACAATAAGTGCGTTCGACCAACAAGATACAAACTTGAAGAAAACAGAATCATATAAGTACATCAGGTTTCATAGAGCTAAAACATTTCAAGTGCTACTCAACTGGCTTTAGATAAGCCAGTCTTTTATTAGTATATAAGTGCTTTGTTAGTAATTCTACATAACATAACACCTGTGTGTGAGCCCAGAAATCAAAGGTTACCATGGTGACAACGTTATCAAAAACCTGTGTACGTGAGCCCAGAGATCAAAGGTTTCCATGGAGATGTGCTGTGAAAGGAGAGCCTTTCCATTGTTCTGAATGAGAAATAAACCTCTTACATTTCTAACTATAGTTTAAAAACGGTAGCTGCTTTCGTAAAATGTCAACGCGTGGAGGATGTCAGGACCGTGAGGAGCGTCGGAATCTGCTTTTTGTGTACTTTCGGGTCCATAATGTGGCATTTTTGGCAGATTTACTAAAGGTGTGCAGCTGCTGCTCTGTGGACAGATCAGGCTTGATTTACAATGGGCCTTAACCTGTTGAACCCCATCGGCCCGCCCCCAGGCGGAAAAACGCATCATCTGCAGGGAACAGCGTCTGAGGGCTTCTTAAGATTGAATAAAGTATGAATGGTTTCATATCCATGTAACGGGAAGAAACTCAGCTAACTGATCTTTTTTTTTGTCTTTACAAAAAAAAACACAAAGCTCACGCTGAGCCTCTGAAATAGCCCTTTGCGGAAACTTTTTAACGCCGTTTGCACAGAAAACACGGTATAACACCCTTATTACTTATCGTAACTGCACATCCAACATATCGATTAGCATCGTGATAAGACACAGACTCATTACCTTCGTCGTTGTCTGATCAAAAGTTGTCTTCAATGGCATTAAAACGATAAAAAACATCTATATTGATTCTGACTTTTCTACATCCAACTCACAGGTTTATCATTACTTTGAGAAAAAAGATTATTAATTTTCCCCTTTTAGAAGTGTAGTTATGGTCATTTGTTCTGGAAATGTCATTTTCGAGCCTGAGACCTGTCGTAGCAGCTTTCTAATCAGCTGTGGTCTAGAGAGAATAATCAGTAAGGTAACAAACGTACAGCAACACAATATTCGTATTAAAAGCAATAAGGATCTTTATACTTGCAAGTATGACGTCTCCTTCATAAGAGCACGTACCTTTCTGAGTGAAACAGTCTCTCTTTATAGGAGGACATCAAAGCAGATTTACATTACAACAACATTCTGGGAAGCCAGCTGACACCCCCTCTGACACAGTATGCAAAACCTTCACTCAATACCAGACAATGGGATAAACAGATACCCCTCAGCCACAGTATGCAAAAACCTTACCCCCTCTGTTGACCACACATACATTTAAGAAAATCTCCCATGCTGTGACCTAATCAGAGGAACAGTTTACAGTCTGCAATGTTAATACACTTGATCACACAATTTCCATAACATTCCCCCCTTTGATTAATTTGAATCACTAATTGTGGTATCAACTTTAGGACTAATTAACATTGGCATGTATATTTGTCAGTTTGAAAAGTTCTTCCACATCAGGTAAGTCTGTGTGGTCACACATCTCCTCCTTTCCTAAACACTCTTGATGTTATCAATGTGATCTGCTAAATATGTAACCCCATACCATGGAAAAATTCCAATTCCCCATTTTTCACCAAGAGAGACGCGCCAATGATATGATTCTAGATTATGAAATTCAGCTAACTCTCGTTTCTGTCTGTGATCACCTACATGGTCATTCTTCGTTTCTGTTAGAAACATTAAGTTAGCAATGGTGAGATTTACATGTTGACAACAGCCATTCCAATTTTTAGGCAAATAATAGTACGCATCTACACCACATAGCCAGTATGAATTTTGTATTGAGGGTAGTCCTAAAGAAATGTTTGTATACAATATATCATTTACTTGAATCATCTTATTATTCCTGAATGTAATATTCACCAAGTTAGTGTTTCCCAATTTGCCATGTCTACCTTTCATTGACAAATAATTTAAGGCGAATTTCAAGCTCTCCTCCACTCTAGCTGTGACATCACGCACTCTAGACTTAACGAGCTGCGCAATATACACTCATATTAAAATTTGAAGAAGGCCTCTTTACAAAGCTCCAAACTAAGTTATATATCAAAAATATTAGACTATTAGATATCAAAAATCTGAATACGATTTGAATAGCTGAATGTCTTGTGATCATTTTAAAGTTGGAATGAAGTCTGAAAGTATGTGGAAGGAGAAGCATTTTCCACACGGTGTAGGTAAAAGAGGATTTGAAGGTTCCTCCCATTGAGTTTCATGTTAAAAAAAGAGTTTACAAAAGCTGAATATTTCAAAAATTATCAAATATTTTGAAAAAGTTAAACATTTCCCACCATGTGCTGAAAAGGCTGAATAGTTTGATATTTGAATGGTTTCTGTAGCTGAAAGTATGCTGAAGTTATTGAGAGCCAAAGTATTGGTTGAAATAAGAAGAGAAAGATTAAAGATTCGAAGAACTATAGTGCGAATGCTGTAAACAGCATTCGCACTAATTAAAAATCACACCACACCCAGAAACAACAATACATGTTACTTTAATGTGTCCCCTTCTGTTTACCCACTTTTTTTTGTCTACCTCTCTCAGGCTCTTCCCAGAAGCCTTTGCTCTGACCTCCAGACTCTCCTGCTGATGAGGGACTGAACCCTCTCACTGACACAGCTCCACGGACCAGGACCAGACAGCCATGAACCCCCAGGAGACGGAGCTCGGCCAGGAGGTTATGGAGGAGGCCGACGCCCCCCCCCGCCACCGCCACAACAACCACAACAGCCGGTCCCGTAACCACAGCAACCAGGAAAAACGCTACAGGCGTGTTGAGGCCCCTGCAGGAGGAGGTGCTGGGAGCAGAGTGAGGGGGCCTCAGCAGCACAGGGGGCCACAGGAGGAGACAGAGGAGCCTCCACAGCCCCAGCCCATCCCCCGACCCGCAGTGACACGATACCGCAGACAGGGGGACAGCGAGGCCCAGGTCAGAGCCCAGCAGCAGAGGCACCGGCAGAGGCAGCAGAGGGAGGCGGAGCGAACGCAGCACCTGGCCCAGCATGAGAAGCAGCAGCGCGCCCAGAGGAGCCAGGAGGACGAGCGGGAGCGAGACGATTCAGCGCTGGCCCGCTCAGCCAGCACCGAGAGCAACTTCCACACCCACACAGACCGGGCCGAGGGCGACGACGGCCAGCTGGTGATGTCTCTGGAGCCGGAGGGGCAGGCAGAGGCCGAGGACGACGCCGGGAACTACGAGGTCCAGCTGAGGCCTGAGGCGGAGGGGTACACTGAGAGTGCCGAGGCTGAGCAGCAACATCTCCATCCTCACTTCCCCCCTCAGCCACCTGAACCCCTGCCTGAGGTCGAAAGCCCCCAGAGACAGGGTGAAGCCGAGGAGATACTGCACGCCGGCTACTCCAACTACGTCTACACCCAGCCCCTCAGCCCCTCCAGTGGGAGGGGCGACGTGTCGGACGGTCAGAGCCTGGAGAGTTTGGACGCTGCTCTCGGGGACGAAGCCTACTCCGAGCCATATGACATATACTCACTCTCAGAGCGTGTTTACGAGGAGATCTGCGATACTCCCACATCAGTTTCATCTGCTGCGGACGGGGCCGAGGACACAGAGTCGCTCCGGCAGAGGCGTGCCGGCTTCAAACTGTTCGAGGGTCGGCCGGCAGGGGGAGACTACCATCAGCAGGAAGCGGTGGGCTCCCGCCTGCGGCACTACGACGAGCGCTCGGACGGCGAGTCAGATAGCCCGGAGAAGGAGGCAGAGTTCGCCCCGTACCCGCGCGCCGACAGCTGCGACCAGGACGAGGACATCGACACCATTGTGGCTGAGGTGAAAGAAAGCCTGAGCTCTCAGAGTCTTC